TTCTTCCTCCCCACAGCAACTACAAGAAAATGATTTAATTATTTTAAATAGTTGCCGCATACTTAAGAAAAAGTCAGAGAGGAGCTAAATAAAGAAATGCTTCTTAACCTACAAATTTAGTGTGGAATTATTTCTACTACATGCTAAGACTGTAGTAAAAAAAAAAATTCAACCAATTGGATGTTTGCTTTCTTGGGAATAAAAGGACTAATATGACTTACATTTTTATTTCCACTGAATTGACCAACTGTTTGCTAGATCACTACTACATTAACATTAAGAGCTGTATAATAATTTCAGAAAAAGGAAAATAGACCCTAACATCTCAGTTTGTAAAACTAAACTGTCTCCTGAGAAATTCTTAGAAAGCAAAGCTCAACAACTATATGTCAGTCAACAAATTTAAAATTCATGTCAAGCTCATCTCAGGAACTCACATTGTAAGGTATATAGCACTTTGCAAACTTGAGCAGATCTGCCTTTTTCCTAAGAGGGAACAAAACTCAAAAGGATGCACTTTGATGTGCAAAAAACCTTAACGGAGGTCCATGTGGTATTCCTGGACCAATAAGAATTTACCTTGTGTTCCAGGGATGTGAGATACTGTCAGAGTTTTAGATTTCATTAATGAAAACAGAAAACAATCTTACTATACATTTTATAAGGCTGACTTCATTTCCCATCACACAAACACTTAGCTATATGTTGTTAATTTTAAGCTATATGCTAAAACACATCACAACTTTACCATCAGTGTTTTAAATGGATAGCTGGCATATAGCCTTTGACAATATTTAGCACTTTATAACAACACATTAATGCTAACTTTAGAAACTACAGCATAATGAAATTTAACAGCCAATTAAGTTGAGGAGTCACTGTCAGCTTCCCCAGTTCCGCTTTTAGATGAAAGACAGAAGCAAACACAGGAAGTAGGGGGCAAACTCTGGCTCCTGTAAAATCTGAAGGGTTGTGGGCTTGAAGTGTTAGGGAATAGAAAAACACATTATCTAAACGGTCGGAAAAGAAATCAGGTGATTTCTTTTTAAATTTAGAAATGGTAACAGTGTTCAGTCTTTCTGTTTATCGCTACGTTCATACATTGATCTCTGAAAAAGTCTCACTGACTCATGTGGCAGCAGCCCCTAGACAACCTTCTGAATGTTTACTTTAAAAGAAAAAAAAAAGCAAAGTTGGATGTATTTAATCTTCACTCAAGCTAATTGGGGTTTATAACTAGTCAAGGAAATAAATAGTTTGACTAGTGAAAATTTAGATGTTTTCCTTTACTAAGACGCTGTGGTCTTTGAGAAGTAATATAAACTCATTATATATGAAGTTGAAAAATGTTGGATGGGGGAATTCCAAGGAAGAGTATGTCTATTCAGTTGGGGTATCTATATTAAAATATATTAGGAAAGTGTTGTATATAACTTTATCTCAATTATTGAATGCTCAGAAATAGCTTTATAGATTGATAGGAGGTTGCAGTAGCATTAAAATAAAATTCTAGTGTATGAAGTCCAGAACATTTGGGTGCAGAGCAAATTTTAAAATATAAAATATTCATACACAGCTAGCTCTTCCATATATCACATGGATTGTGGAAAATTTCCAAATTCCTTAGTGTTCTCATTGTCATTACTTTCTTTGAATCAATTTTGCCTTTGGCATTTTCTGCCAGTTCAGTGCCTGCTCACCACAGTTTACCCTGTAGTAATGTAGACATAGAAATCTTTTTTTCTTTAAAATCCATGAAAGAAAACAAAATCAGATAAATAAATAGTAATGCTCACATAAAAGATGCCAGTGCTTGCATGCGTGCATGCGCGCGTGCAGCAGAGAGGTTTACCGAGCAGCAATGCAAACCTCATAACCTGAAATGTGAGTGCTATAGACAGAATGTGTTCCCCCCAAATTCCTGTGTTGAAACCCTATCCCCTAATGTGATGGTATTTGGAGGCGGACCTTTGGGAGGTGATTAGAATTAGATACCGCCATGAGGGCAGAGCCCTCATGAATGGCATTAGTGCCCTTCGAAGAGTCACGGGAGAGCTTGCTTCCTCTCTGCTCTCTGCCATAAGTAAACGGCTGCCAGAAGAGAGCCTTCATCAGAACCCAGACAGGCTGGCATCCTGAGCCAGGACTTTCAGACTCAGAGCTGTGAGAAATAAAATTCTCTTGTTTACAAGCCACTCAGTCCATGATAATTTATCATAGCAGCCCAACAGTTAGACACCTGTGATCTGAAATTACAAATTATTCATGCCCTCAAGTTGGGAGATTCTGATTCAGTAAGTCTGGAGTGGCGCTGAGGAATCTACACGTAAGAAGATAACCAAGATGGGGGCACCTGCTCTGGGATGCCTTGTCTTCATCGTCAATCATCAAGTTTAATGATGGGAAATCAATGAAACACAAGGTCTCTTTACAGACCTAGGGATCTACCCTGTTTCAGTCCCATATTACTAAATTTCCCTCGTCATGTGCCTCTTTCTTCATAAGCAGCCATGCTGGTCTGCCCAGGACTGTCCAGGTTTTGATCCTACGTCCTGAGAAACTACTCGGTCCCGGAACAACAAATGACTTGTCACCAGATCAGGTCTTTAAAGAAATAACTGAATCTTTGTGGTTGCTATGATCATTCTTCAATATTTATTCATAAATTGCTTATTTCATGGTTAAAACTGTGGGAGAGGAATTTTAGAAGCTGAAAGGGCTATCTTCCCAGGTCACTTGACGACATTCTGGACATAAGCCGTATTATCCTAGGACCTAGGAGACGAGGTGCCCCACAGAAATAGGGAGAAGACAGAACCTCCACAGCAACACTAATCTTAGCTTAGATCATGCAGTGAAGGCAGGTTGAAGGAGACAATGTACCTTTTGGCACCTTGAAGAGGCTCTTTGTTAGATCTGCCCTCTCTCCTTGTGCTCCCAAACCTGCAAAACTTCCTCGGTAGGAAGTTTTAGGAAAATCATAATATAATTTCCTATAGCGATAGCCTGGTTTTGGATCTGATGAGTTTGATACGGAGGCAAACTTTATAGAAATGTTGTAGGCAATTGAACATGTGGGCTGGAAGTTAGGTGACAGAAAGTCCTAGCATACTAATTTTCCAGGAAGCTAGATTCCACAATGAATTAAATTGATTACTGTGAGTCGATCTAATGTTTTGGATTCTGTAACCAACATTTTGGATTTCACTTTATATTTCTAGACCATAGAAGTAGTAAGAGTTGGATGCATTTAGAATGAATGGATTCTGAGATTGGAGGAAAAAAAGAGGACTCAGTCTTGGGGAATGGAAAGTTGAGCCATCAAAAAGTCTGAAAAGGCATGTAGAAAGGAGGAGCCGAATTCAGCATCATGACAGACTTCAGGGGAAAGAGCAATGACCCACAGCATTGAAAGGACCTGAGTGTAACAAGTGATTGAGACCAGAGGAAAACTTGTTCAATGATTGTATGAATAAAAATGAATGAGTTGACCACTACATCTGTCTAGAAGAAAGTCACTGGTTTTATCAGTGTAAAAACCCAAATATTAAAAAAAAATTTAAATCATCTGTCTAAATTTAGAGGAAATATACTTTAGTGTGAAGAAAGGAATATTTGTTGAACGTAAAGACTGATTATTAAAGTTCACTAACTGAGATTTATGGGAAAATTTAAAGTGCTTGCTTTTGATCTCTCCAAGTATTACCAGATGTATAAGGTTTAGGGGGATGTGGAAGTGATGGGAGATCCTTTTTTGTCCCCTTAATGAGCCCTCAGTGTCCTTTCTATAGTTTTTTTCTTAAGTGCCCAACATTCTTGCCATCTACCACACTTCCCTGGGGATTGAGAGAATATTGGATTTTGAATCTGAGACCTGGGAATGGTTCCCGTATCTGCTCTATGTGTCCTAAGGGGAATTTCGCCTCCGCAGTCTGTTTCCTCATCTTCAAAACAAGGATGTTGTATTATAACTAATTCTACATCATCTGAGTTTAACATCAAGTTTATCTTCCATTTTTCATTGTATGCTTCTGTTGCATATTAAATGATAAAACACCAAGCTAAAGGTAATCTTCAGTGCCAATTCTCATCCTCAAATACACTTAAAAACAGGTACAGTTATTCTGAATAGAATTCCTTTCAAGAGCTCTATATCTTTTATCTAACGTACAGCAAGGTGACTATAGTTAACAATACAGTATTGTATACTTGAAAGTTTTCAAGAGATTAGATCTTAAAAGTTCTCAGCACAAGGGAAAAAGGCAACTATGTGAGGTGGACGTGTTAACTAACCTTATTTTGGTAATCATTTCACAATATATATGTACATTAAATTATCACATTGTATTTCTTAAACTTACACAATGTTATATGTCAATTATATATCAATAAACTGAAAAAATTTAAAAATAAAAACAAATAAAAAGTTGAGTTCAAGAGGAAAATTAATTGAATGATTCTTCTAAAGATAAGCAGTTTCACTTAAGGAAATATTGTGATTTAGTAGTTACAAAAAAGGCTCCCAAACTGAGCGCATTCAAAACAAGAACAGACCTGGGGTGGGAGTGGGGTGGGAGTGGGGTGGAGAGATCTCACTGTGGGCCACTAATTAAACGATGCTCTGAGAGCTGAAGTGGATGAAAGAACAACAGTCTGTACATTTTACTTTAAAAATCAAGTCACTACCAAACTTCTAGGTAATTACTAGAACGTACAGTATAATAGGACTCAATAAGGTGGAAAGAAAGATAATGAAACTCTACATCTTTTATTTATTTTATATATTTTGGTTGCTAATGAAATAGTTTCTGTTCTTTCCAAATAAAAAAATTTAATACCCAGTTTAAAAACCTGGCTTAGTAAGGACAGGACTAAAATAATCAGGAGTACAATCAAATAGTTCTGTTGCATTATGTGTGCCTCAAGTGATGAAAACAGCCCTCGTGCCATCTCGTAGTGGAATCTAACCCGAGCTGATGCTTTGGCTTTTTATTTTGCAGGGCTGGAGCGAATTGCACGGGATTCATCTTACGAACAAGAAGGAAAGGTCCAGTTTGTGATTGATGCCGTGTATTCCATGGCTTATGCTCTGCACAATATGCACAAAGATCTCTGCCCTGGATACATTGGCCTTTGCCCACGAATGAGTACCATTGATGGGAAAGAACTTCTCGGTTATATTCGAGCTGTGAATTTCAATGGTAAGTCAAAACTTTTTTTTTTTTTTGGTATCTACATACTTCAGAAGTGACAGGGTGTTTTTATTGTTTTTTCTTCTTTTTCTCCCTATATATAGAATCTACTCAAGCAGAGTAGAAAGCACAGGATTAGAAGCGGTTCCCCTTTTAATCAGAAGTGTGAGTTTTTCCACCTGCTTTTAAATCTCAAACATATTTTTTTTTTGTGCTACCATTAAGCTGCTCCTGGAAGAAGCAGAAGTTAAAAATAAGCCTCTATCAATCAAAATATCACTATTTCAGAAATAACTTAGGAGGCTCATTTGGCACCACTGACAACAGATTAGATTTCTTTGAAAATGTTTTGTTCATGCCGTTATTAGAGAAGGAATTGCAGACATTTTGTTGTGAACTCGATTTAAACATGTTTAACAGTGAGATGACGTGAGGAAAGGGGGTGAATTGAAACTGCTATATATTTACATTCTAAGAGTGCTGTGTTAAGTTTCTGTGTCTTCTTTTTCCTTGTATTTCTTTCAATGATTTGGTCAATTTGAAGCAACGAACTGTGTCGTGTAAGATAGAACTACATACAGGGCAGCGTAGATGGGATGTGGCTACTGCAGAAGCAGAAAGGCTGCTTCTGTAAGTGTCACAAGAAATTGATACAGAATATGCTGGATTCATAGTATTCAGCAGAGAATAGCCAAACTGCCTGTCTCAAGTGATGGAACTATTGAATGCTATTCTTTCATGAAAGTTGTAATGGTTGTTGCCCATGACTTTGACCATTATTTCAACTGAAATGACAGAATGCTCTGAGCTGTCTAATTCTTTCTGTTTGGCTGTAATCCACACAGTGGACATGCCTCCGAGCCACGCGCAGCACTGCACTGTCCATCATAATACACTCCAGTGACCTCAGCTGCCAGCCTTTCTCAAAAAAGCACAAGGTCATCTTCAATTTAGAATTCAAGTGGAAACTTCTTCTTTTGCTTTGTTCAGGCAACATGAGACACGATTTGGTTTACATTCAACACAAAGCATCCTCTTTTTCAGCAGAATTTGGTGACACATTACATAACATTGAGCCTTTTGTTAAGAATATAAATAGAAAGGGGAATTTGAAAATAATTTTCTTATAATTATTAAATGGAGCAAAAGAGGAGTGTTACAAAAGAGGGGGTTATTTATCCTAACGTGAGGTGGGGAACACTGTACTTATCCAAATTGCTAAGAGGTACGATGAGGAATGCAAATGAATATATTTTTTCCATAACTGAAGCTGTTCTCTAGAAGGGGCAGGGAAATCTTTTAAAGACACATTGGATTCAACTATTTTAAAGGTGAATTACTATATTTCTCCTATCTTAACCATAGATAAAACCTAACCCTTCCTTGATGACTTTAATGATTATACCATATTGTAATATAATGATGCTATTAAAGACTATTACAGTGTCTTGATGTTTAAGGATTATTAAGACAATTTGCCTCTAGACTCCAGTAATTTCTGAGCTCTTCTGTCCACCTTTTATAGTTTTTTCCCCTTCTACATCATCAGACTGCTATTGTAGTAGTTCTAGGAACTGATCCCTTCCCTAATTTGCTTCTTTCAATCCACTATGGACACAGAAACAGACATAAAACTTCATAAATTTAGTCAAGAGATATTTATTGGGTACATAGAATGTGTTAAGCATCATGATAGATGCTGAAGATACACTACAGGTAAAAACAGTCAAAACAAGACATGAGAGATAGAGTTTCTTGGGGAACTTGATAGTAATCAAATAAGCACACAAAGGTATAATTACATAATCTGCAGTGAGCACTAAAGGAAGAGGTGTGCTGGACTAAGAGTTTATAAGAGGGAACCATGCCCCTCTTCTAGGGCGTTAGGGACAGCTGAAATCTGGAGATGAGTGTCAGAGATAAGGGTAAAGCAGTAGACCAGACCAGATGGACCATGAGAGGTCTCACAAGTCATCCTTAAGATGTGTTCTTCATCTTGAAAGCAATAGGAAGCCACTGAAACATAACAGAGCTGTGTCTGATACAAGAGTGTACTCCAGAAGAGAATCATGTAACATACATGAATTTTAGTGTATGAACCTCAAAGAGACTCTCTGAGCTCCTTGGAACTGTGTTTTGCTAATGGCTTGCAACTTGGCTGTGTTCCAATAGCTGGTAATAATAATAATAATAATAATAATAGGGTAAAAGACCTGTGTGTAACCAAATGATCATGAAATATATCATTTGATTTGCAGTGACTTTCAGGATGTTTATTAATTTTTTAATTTCATTATTGGCTTATCTATTAGCATTCATTCATTATTGATACCTTGCCTGTTTCTGATAAAAAGACGCATAGGGCTATTCAAATAGAAGCACGTCATCAAAACTATTGAAGGAAGAAGAAACAAATTTGGTCACCGGAATGAAGGACTACGTTAAGTTCTGAGCCTCCCAAACAGCCAAAATGCAAAGGGACATTCAGTGGAGTAGATAAGTTTCATTACGTGACAGAAGCAAGCCTGCCTATTTTTCAGGAGAGAATGAATTTTCTTAGAAATTATTTCTAAGAGAAAAGTATCATATAAGACTTTGACAGCCTAATAAGCAATGTTATTTAACAAAACTTTACTTGGGGAGCCAGAGGGAAACAAAGACCTGCCTTTTAGGATTACTTTTATTGCTACCATTTGAACAAAATGCTATTTCCATAAATTTTTTAAGTGCCAAGATTTATCAGAAGAAACACATAAAATAAAGAAGAGGAGTTCAGATTTTTCGGGTACTTAAGCAACAATGTCAATTCCTTACTCTGCTCTGGTCTATAGGCAATGAAATATTAATCCTGTACATCATGTATAGAATCAGAGATTTTCCTGTTGCCATGAGAACCTTATTCATCATAAAGAAAAAGTGTTGCATAGAATTCAAGAGATATCTCCTTACTTCTCTGTAGTTGAGCAGGGTAGGCACAGCAGCATACAAATTAGGGTTCTTTGTAGGTAACAGAAACCAACTGAAGCTTGCTTAAGCTAAAAGGAAGAATTTATGAGGGTGTGTCAAGAAACCCCATGGCAGAATGTAGAGGGGTCTAAGGAAAGAACTGGCTATAAGTACTAAAACTTTCAGAAATCCAAACATCTGTCTATCTGCTTTGTTTGATTCTCCTTATATTGGTTTTCTAAGTCCTCAGGGTAGGGAGCCGAAAGCCTTCTACATTTCTAGAATTTAGCTACTCTTTATTTAGGACACCTGCCGAGATTAACATATATATTTTTAAGTCCCAATTCTAACTTTTTCAGAAACTTGGATCTTATTAGTGGAACTTAGGTTGGACGTCAGACTTGTTCCAAATCATCAGTGACAAGAAGCAAGCAGTACAAACTGAGTTGTCCTGGATGCTCCCTGTGGCTGAAAGGGACATTTAGGAAGTCTCTATAAGTGACTTAGGGGGACAGTTTAAAGTGAGAAGAGAGGTGAAAACCGGCGAGGGGTGATGCTGTGGTCTCTGAATCCCTTTGCTTCTCTTGGTGAGTGAGCTTTGGTTGGGCTAGCGAAGACACAGTTAAGAATCACATAGAATCTGTGAGAATCTGAGAGAGGAATCAGTTTTGGAATTACTTAATGCAAACCTTCATGTTGTGACTGAATTCCCTGAATGAAGCAGTTTGTCTAAACTCACACTGAGATAGTTGTCTAACCGTTTCAATGCTCAGTATTCTAAGAAACATATGTAAACAGTTTCCTGATTACAGAGGCTGATATAGAGATGGAATTTATCAGCACTTTCCTTTCTTTAGAAACCTTGTTGATTTTAGGGACTTACTGCAAATTTTCCAAATATACAATTGTGAGAGTCTCTGAATACTGCAGTCTGATTTTGAAGCAGATTTCCTTGTGTAAAATACCTTTAAGCTATGGGAAAGGAGTATCACTTAATATTAAGAAATGTACTACAAACACACCAATAGGTCAAATAAGACAATGATAAATATAAGATTCTGTAAAGCCATTTGATTAAAATACAATTTGCATTTCTGTTACAAGTACAAAAACATAAATAAACAAACTGGAAATGGAATAAATGTTTAACATGATAAAGCACAGCTCTCAACCTATAATCAATTATTTATTTATAGTTATTCCTCTTACAGAGATAGATTAGTCCTATTGGCACTATTATTAATATTCTACAAAATTTAACCAATGTGATAAAGCATGAAACAAATTACAGAGACCACTCCTAGAAATGGAAAAGTACTATTATGATTATTTTTAAATGATCTGATCTCAAGACAATAAATTGAAAAACATATTAGATGTACTTACTTCAGGAAGATGATGAAACAGAAAATTAATATTAAAACATGAAGAACTTTCATACATACTAGTAAGAAATCATTGACTAATATATGGGAAATGAAACTGTTTTCTTTGCAAAAAATATTTAAAATGTCTTGGAATAAAGTGAACCCCCAAAAAAGGAAAGACTTATATGAAGACAACTTTACTGAGAGATATTGCTTGTTTGTAGACAGAAAAACTATGTATAGGGAAAAATGTTAATCTTTTCTGAATAAGTCTGTATTCAGGCATCGTATAATTCCAACCAAAATGACAAAGGATTATTTTCTAGACTTTGAAATAATAGTTTATATTTTAGCTGTGAGAAAAAATGAGTAAAAATAGCTAAAATGATTTTGAAGAAAAAAATTAATCCTACCAACCATTTAACATTTAAGCATAATGTTAAGCTACAATAAGCAATCCAGTATAGAGCTATTACCAGGCTAGACATATGATAAATGGAACCAGATATAAATAGCCAGAAACATATAAGAATGATAAATGGGTAAATAGACAAAGTGGTTTATCCAGGTATATGTACGTACATACATATGAACTTATGATGAGATAAAGGTGAGTTAGAACTCAGTGGGAAAGGACATTTTATTGATTATCAATTTACAGTAAAATCAATTATGATTTTGATTATGATCTCTCCA